TGCAGCCTCAAGAGATCGTGGCTTAACCATCAGCTCTTACTGGGAGAGGGGTCATAAAAATTGTATAAAAGTAGGGTGAGAAGGGACCCCTCTATAGGTCATGTAGTCTTAATCCCTTGCCTAAGGAAGGATCAAATGTTTTCCAACTAAAATATATGAAGATACTGGTACCAAATCATTGCTTCTCACTGCCCACAGGCATATGCATCTCCATTTATGTCTCAAAATGAGAATTGCAGAACAATGTTGTCCAACTGGCAGCCCATGGGCTGCAGGTGGCCTGTGAGCTGTTAATGTGTGGCTTCTGGGCAGCTGCTGGCTTTCATCCCCCACCACCCTTGCTTTGGCTTTAGCAGGAGTGACATGGGGAGCTGAGGCTGAGTCCTGAGGTCGGGGCAAAGGGGAGGGATTTTGCCTGCTCATAATGGGGTAGGGATGGCAGTGCAGCAGTGGGTGGGGAATGGGCTGGGGGAGTGAGCTTCTGGTGCAGCTCCAGAGTATGTGCCCCCAGGGGCTTAGCATTTGTTCAGCTTTGGTTCTCGTTCTAGAACAGTTGGCTGAAACCAAATGCTTCTTGCAGGTCAAATGCACAGCAAGCACCCCTTAACTTGCTTGTTTGGGCCCAGCTAGAGAATCTGGAGCATCCATAAAGTTGTCATTGAACACTGAAATGTTTATTTCAGAAATGAACAGGTAATCTTCAAACATCAGAAATCACTATCTCTTTTTGATGAAAATCTAATGGACAGCAAAACTTTGAAGTGAGACATAATGTGGCAATGAGGAGGCATCTGATCCAGTTTTTTTTTCCTTTATACAATCAATCCCCTTGGGCAGTTTACTACAAACATACTAAAAATTTTCTTGCTAGGTCAGTTGTTTTGGGCCTTGAGTTCAGAAAGATCGTGAGACATCCTTATGATGGAAATGCTGTGACCTCTCCACGTTATTCACTCAAGTTTCTATAACGAGCATGCTATGTACTTTATTCATGTATAGTAAAATACATAACTGATTTGGGTCCAGAAACCTTTTGATAGAATTGCAGCCTAGTGCACAAGTTTTCATGGCTTCGGTTTTTGTTTTTATGGTTCCCTAAATTTCCTTGATAGCCTTCCCCTTTGGCACTGAGGAACCGGCTTGACTGTCCTTGATATCAACGCTTGAAGCAGCCTACTGGCAAAGCACTTAAGAGAAAAATGAGTTTTGAAATGAATTTCCAAAAAGTACTTTGTAAGTAATGGGTGGGCAAGGAGTTCTGTTTAAGTTAACAGCCTCACTTGCGTTTTTTATGCTCTGGAAAAGCAGAGATGTCCACTGAGAACACTGTACTCTAATATTCGGCATTGAATATTTGATAGTGTGTTGTGCCTTTGCCTATAACTATTTTTGTAAGCTTTCTCTGTCTCCCTGCAGGGAGTACCCATCCATTAAACTTGCATATGTCCGTTCTACAACTTCATTACACCCATCACTATCAAATGCTTAGTCCAAGCCTGTATTTTCCATCTATAAACTGCATAACCATAGCTTCACTCGAGATGCTTTTGTTTTAAAATCCTGTTATGCTGTAGAGCATTTACTTCTTAGGAGTCACTTTTTTAATGATGGTGCCTAAAGTTGTTGTCTTCCCTTAGTTTTCCAGCCTCCTATTAAACAATTCCAGCTGGCAGAGCAGGAACAAGCACTTCCATAAGCGTTCCCACGATCCTTAAGTCGGGAGCATGACCTTGCAGCCATGTGCCAGCTTTCCTCCCTTGACGTAAGAGATAGCAGGAGGTAAAGACAATACTTTGGTTAGAAGGCTTCCTTGCCTAGGGTTGGCTGCTGGAGCTGGGCATTCATAGGCCATCTAAACAGTATCTTCCTCTGGGGACTGCAAGGTTAGAAGGGGAAAGGAATTGATTCCCCTCTCCACATCTTAAAGAAAAGCACCAAACATAACTCTCCTTCCCAGCTATAATAGTTTCCTTCAGTGAGTTGCTAAGTAGGCCCATTTATTATGAAATGTCAATCTAAGCTAGGGTAAAAGTGTCCTTAGCTGATGATCTTTAAGCATCTGGTTTAGCTGGGTGTGGAGGCGGGAAGAGGGCTAATTCCTTTTCCTTTACAGATCACCTAATGGGATGCGGTTCCTTGGGCTCTAATGTCACGGCAGGGCCCTCGTATAACAGTATTTTGTAGTGAACACTGCTTCCTACTTTCTCTCTAGGGTTTGTAATCTGCAGTTGGTGAGAAGAGGCAATGTTGTATCAAATTTTGCAAGCTTCTGTAGATGTCTGGCTGGAAAACGAGGTCTTGTTCCAATTTGTCTGATTTTTGTCCTGGAAGGCACTGTTACAAGTTTATCTGTTTAAGAGGCAAACACTGTCTGGGGAAAGAAACATTTTTTTTTTTACACATGTCCAAACAGGGCAATAAAGGTCTAGAAAGGAAGGATTTGCAACCCATAAAACCAAAGGAAACAGTCACAGTTGCTTTGGAGCGGCTCCTTCCTAAAGGAGGAGTTAGATTAATGCTGAACCTTTTTTGTTTTACCTCATTGAAAGACATCATGGTTCTGCAGAGTGTTTTTATTCTTGTTTGCCAGTCAGCTCTTCAGAGAGCTGCATTTCAATGAGGGCTTCTCTTTTACAGCCCATCCTATTACTATTACCACTTCCCTTTTTATGAACAGAGAGGCTGCTCTATCAAAAAATAAAACCCCTTGAAAAGGTCAAGCCTAGTATCTTTTAATATTCTGTAAATAGTAATCTGAATCGTCCACAGGCATACCTGATATCAACAGCATGCTAATGTGTTAGTTCAGTTGCCAAACTCATGTTCAGACAAAACGGAGATTGAGATTTCTTGTAGGAATTGCTTGTCTTCACCTTTAAATCACAGGGGTGCTACTTAAGTGGCTTGGTTTTACTGAAGATCACATTGGCAACTTGTAGGCCGCATGCACTTGGCTCTTTGCGTAGCTGGAAATCTGCTGCATTTTATCTGACATCACCTGTATTATAGTTGGAAACTGTTCACTGGACATGTATTGTTTCATTCTTCTGTAAGGAGCCCCTTTGGAGTTAGAGTAATGGTTGCTAGGGTTGTTGGCTGTAGCCGTGTTGGTCTAAGACAGGCAGACAAGGTTCTTTGAGTAAATGTGATCTCTTTTATTAGACCAACTAAATAGTTGGAAAAATTGTTCTTCACATGTGAATAAATGCTAGGGTAGCATTTTTCAAAAATGCCTAACAATAGTAAAGTGCATTTCAGGTGTTCAGATTGCATCTGACAAGGAATCCCTTGTTAATTTTAACTTGAGCTAAAAGGTTTATTCAGTAAGAATGCTTAGAGAGGTATAGTTAAGAAGGAAAACCAAAAAGCACTAACTAGCTGTTTTCACTTTTCATAGTGAATATTGTGGGTGGTGGAATGCCTCTGAGTGACTAGTTGGTATTTTAAATTGAGTTTCCTCCCCGATTTGCTAGGGCGCAGCTGACTTGGAGAGGAAGCTCACCCTCTTATTTCCCTTTGAGAGGGGTAGGTGTTCTAATACTGTGAACGCTGATATGTCATGTATGAAGCCTCTTTTTAATCATCGTTGTGAAAGTTTGGGTAAAATAGTAGCACGAGAAATTCTAAAGTTAAGATTAGCAATGACTGAAAGAGCAAAAAACCAACCTTTTCTACAATTTGGTGAAATTGTGACCTGCTGACTGGAACATGCCTACAAAATGTTGATTTCCATTGCTACTGGATGTGGCTGCACAGGTACATGCCCAGTGGCAAGGAACATATATATTGATTATGGCTGGGGAACCCACTGTACCCGAATGCCCTTCAGGAATAAAACGCATGTTTGTGGCTATAACTATGACCAAGCAATAAAGTTGAAGTCCCCGGTATCAGTAACAGAATTGGTACAGCTGGAAGGTTCATTTTAGTGTCACAGTCTATAGTGGCATGTCTTGTTTGAGAAAACAGTGGCTTTAGATATTCCAGAAAAATAGAAGCTCTTGATTTCACACATCCCTCCCTCCGCTTCCTCCAACACATTGGACTTGTATTTGCTCTTTAGTGCCAATAGTTCACACTATGTACATAATTTCATGAGCTCTCCAAGAGGACTTAATCATGAAAGGGAGACCTTTGTGGAAGTCGGATAATTCTTGTCCGATTCAAATCTTCATCTTGTACGTGGCTTGCATTTCAACCTAATGAAAATAAGGAAGTGCTGACATTAGTGGAGGAGAACGGACTAACTTTGTCAGTTCTTCAATTTAACATGCACATTACAATGGTCTGAAAAGCAGTATGTAAGCAGCCAATGCCCTGAATATGGAGCAGGTTCCTGCTTTAAATTAAGACCGTAGGATTGGGATCTTCTACTGTTACCTTCTGAAGATGCTCTTGGTTGCATCTATTCTCAGATCCTGCCTTCTATGGTAGAAATAGTCTATGAATGTTTTGCTTTATTTTCTGTTAAGAGGTTTGAATTGTGCATGCAAAAAAAAAGACTTGCTGAGCTGCCAGTCAGCGCTGCCTATCACAGCATAAACCACATACAACACTGGAATGAACAGTGGCTTGACTAGGCTAGTGCATTTGGGTGTCAAAATGTGTGTGTTCCCGGATGAGAATGAAGTTGTCTGTGTCAGCCAGAGTGTTTAGTCTGTTAGCTCAGTGTGTGAAGGTATTACAGCATAAGCTTGTGGGGTTTTTTTTTAATGCCGTATTCAGTTTGGGGAGCCCCTGTATTCATGTACTCCAATATGAGATTAATACTCTGATAGTGACCAGGTGTTTATTAAATTTTATTGAAATGGATTGTATTCAGAGGTACAATATGACAGATGATCTGAAACTAGAGCCAATACTTCTACTTGTGTACACCAGCTGTGGTGCAAAGAGAGTGCTGCTCTTGAACAGTAAATACATTTTTTCTATTAAGTCCTTATATGAGCAAATCCAGCTTTTGCACTGACTGCGAATGACCAATTTTCTTCTTTCCACAGAGTGACCAGCAGCTGGATTGTGCCTTGGATTTAATGAGGCGTCTGCCTCCCCAGCAGATAGAGAAAAACCTCAGCGATTTAATTGACTTGGTGAGTAGTATTAATTCGATAAAACATCCAACAGGGAAGGTATTCTGTGCAGCAGGAGATTTGGCTTCTGTAACCATACAGGTACATTCTGGAAGTGTTGTCACTGACCAGTTCTCCAGAATCAATGGAACATTGTATTTGGCAAGACTGATACAAGGTAGGTTCCTGATCTTGGGAAACCCACTTCTCTCATATTGGTGTTCCTCCTTCCTTATAAGAAAGTATGTTCATCACTGTTTCCATTTTAAACCGATTTTTTTTTTTTTTTTTTTTTTTTTTAAATCTGAAAGAAGTCTAATTGCGCACGTACAATTTTGGTTAAGGGTGTTATTAACAACATTAAAAATGCGGGGTCATCACATTCTTTGAGATTACACTGCAATAAAGCTATTCAAAACAATTTGTTAAAACTTCAGCCTGCGTTTTATTTCCCCTAAACAGGATATTTGCTTGTAACGGATGTTGCTTCTTCTCAGGTTGTCTTTCAGCCTGTCCAAAATTTCATTTCTGACACCAGTGTCTCTAATAGAATATTTAACAAAAGTTTGTAGTTTTATTTCCAGTATGAATTGCATTACCACGGGCTTTGGTACACAGCAAAAGCTGCAAGAACTATAGTTTGAAAATCAGATCTGTATCAGCAGTTGGCAGATGTGGCTTGATGATGAATACTTACTTACCTTTTGGGGTATTTTCTTTAACTTGTCATGAATAGTGGAATGTTTTTAATTCAAGCCTGTACTGTCAAACCGTAAGATGTTAAATTTTAGATCACTTCAGTGCTGCTCACCAAAGAAACTGCTGCAACATCAGTGTCATTTCTGGTGCAAACAGTATATATTTCAAGGCTTGGAAACCGAGGACTTCTGAAGAGCACTGGATCCCTTTCATAATGTCACAGAACACCAGACCATACTCCATAGTCTGCAGTTCATAAAATGTCCTGTAACTAATCAAACGATCAGCTTCCATCATGGTGTTCAATGTATAGTTTGCTTTCCCAGGAAATTTATAATGGAAATCAATTCCCCACAATGAAAATGGCATTTAAATGTCACCAGCTATATGGGAATAGACTGGATTATTTCTTTTGCCTTTAATTTACAAGTACATACATGGACTTGCTAGTAAATTTACTAGCAAAAAGTATTACCTATTTGCCACACCAAACCTAATCTCGTCTCTGGAGAAATCAAGTTGCTATGGGTTATCAAAAATAGGATACGTTACACACACAGCCAGTTATGATGGTCGCTGCCAAAACTGATCCTTCTCTCAGTATACAGGAGTCCAAAGATGCTTTTGAATTGGTTTTGACCTATGCTTCTTTAGACTGACAATGGTTTTTGGGGACAAAAACTGTCAACTTAAAGTACCTTCGCAGATAGGGATCTCTGGGTTACAGTAATATAAAGTTTAGAGTACAAAAAAAAAAAAATAAAAGATGATTAACCTAATCCGTAAGCAGAAGTCTGATATCTTAGTGTACCGGTGCAATATACTGAGTCCTTCATTAAGTTTAAGCTTTGCAGAAAGTAGTTTCCTAACTTTCAAAGGAAAAAAAAAATGAAAACACTGTGTCTGAGATGCTTCTTATCTTTGTACACAGAGTAGCTGCTGCTTATGTTTCATTTGCACCAGAAATGACACTTAACCTTCAGGTAAACTTGGAATATGTTAAGTTGACCTTCTGTCTGAAGGTCTGCTCTCACGTCACTGGCCATGTCTCCGATAATGGATTACCACACCTGGCCCCGGTCCTTTGTAGAAGATAGCATGTCAGTGGAACAAGTGGGTTGCGAGAGGATGCAGAGGGGAAGAGCTCTCGCAGCTTGACCAGGTTTCTGATATTTGATCTTGCATATTCTCAGCATGTTCCTCCCTTCGGCAGCCAGAGGTGCTCACCAGAAATAGAAACTGCAAGAGGGGCAATGAGCAAGCCATATTCATAACAAAATAAGCTAGGGGCATGCCTGTACTGAGCTCTGTCAAACAGATAGCTACACCACGTGTGTAGGAAATTCAAAGGTTCAAGAAAATTGCTGCTACTCTTATGAGTTTGTCTGTGATGCAAGAGCTTTTTTGTGTTGCTAAATCTTCCTTGGTGAACTTAAAGAAGGGAAGACATGGAAAACTAGAACTGACTCAAAAGGGGAGGGTATACCTGCAGAGTGTGATGCAGTAAAAGGCATTGTGGCATCTTTTTATCCAGACAGTTGTAAAAAATAAAAAATAAAAAACTCCATGGGAAGCCACAGAAACACTTCTGCAGAGAATTCAGTTTACTGAGGTAACCTGCCTATGACATTTCTTATAACACAGTTTCTCTTTTATTGAAAGTGAAACAAACATGGACTCATGGATTCATTACGTTGTCACTTAAAACCATGTAGTTCTTGTAAACTTGGACAATTTCCTTTTTATGCGAAAGCCAACTGTATGTAACTGTATTAAATCTGGGTAATTTTCATTTGGATGTAGTTTACTCTGTTAGAAATATTGTGGCTGTTTGGGAGACTTTCCTTTTAACTTGCAAATAAATGTTAGTTGCAAAACAAACCTGTACAAAAGCTAATGGAACTACTTTTCCGTTTTATTCATTTGCATTATAATGGTTCTTTAAGATGCAAGTCACCTGCCTGCTGTTCCAGGGTGAATTTTGTACATGCAAGAGACAAGTTGGATTATAAGGGGCAAGGGTAGAAGATGCTATATATAATAAGTTTTTGGTTTTCTAGAATTGCTATTGTGATATATATCTATATATATACAGTGAAGGGGTTTAATTGGGGATGTTGCCAGAACAGTGAACTGAGAAGGATAAGCGTAGAAATAGGGTTTGAATGGATACTTTGCTTGGAGGCTGCAAGTTTTGCCTCTTGGCTATAAATTGAGAGTTTAGGGCCTGTTAGGAGAGTGAATGGCAGAAAGGATTAATTTGGTAAATGTGAGTAGTACTGCTAAGATATGGATAGGGTATGGATTCTTAGAAAAGGGAGAGTGAAATGTTGGCTCCTAGGTTATAGCTTTGTTGGGAGGGTGTTGATGTTAAGAGTCCACTGCTTTGAAAGGTATGTTCACCTGCTCAGCTCCAGCTAGGCTGATGGCAAACTGATTCTTTTGGGTGATATCTTAGCAGATGCCATATTTGACAAATGGCACTTTGTGCTCAAAATGTTGTCTAACATCTGTTCCAACTATGTAGTTGATTTAATCAAAGGTATCGCCGAGAAAACCTTGCTTCTCTAGAAATTCCAGTGGAACTAAAAGACCTCCAATGGTCAGGTATGATAATTAACTACCAAGTTGCATTGATATCAGATACTGGTTTTATCTCTAAGTGTTTTTTAAAGATTTAGCAGCCTTGTTGACCTTTTTGGGTTGGGTTTTTTTTTTTTGGGTGGGGGGGGGGGGGTTGGGGGGGTTGGATAACTAACATGGCATGTTTATAGCTTATGTGATGAGAAACTACAAAGACCAGGCAGTATGACTTAAGCACTAGAAAGGAGGAATCCAAAGGACACTTGCCTAGTTCTCAGTATAACCTTCCTAACTTTAAATGATTTTAGTTGGTCTTGTTTTAATTTTGCAGTGAGAGAGTCACTCTAAACTAGTAAGTTGAAGAATATAGTAGGGAGCTGTTCCTTTGCTCTAGGTTTAAACCTGTGCATTTCAGTCATGTGAAATCACTCAACTACTGTGGTTGACCTTCTGTTAAAAAAGGCTGGTTAAATTTACTAATGCTTTTAGCTATGTAAGTGAAGGACCAGGTAATCAAATCATGTGCATCACGATAGACATTATTCACCGCAGGAGTTGGGAAGGAATTCTTTCTGACTTTGCCCATATGTAAAGCATTTTATAAGTGGTTGGATCTGCATTGCTAGAAGTTTGAGTCATAGCCTTGTGGCCACTGCTGGAGGCAGGATGCAGACTGATTTGGACAAAAGGTATGATTTGGTTTGGCGGATCCTACGTTCCTATGAAGGCTTGAGGAATGAATGGGTATTAAAACGTGAGTCAGGTTAAGGACTAGTCAGTACCGTGAGTTTTTTGGGAGAGCTAATGGTAAGTCTGACTCTAAGTAATTGCTGAGTTCTTAATGGCATAGAAAATTGCCAGTTACTTCCAAATGTTTAAATTACTTTTGGACGGTGCTCATTAGTGCTTGACATGCGTTTCATCAACAACACTCTCACTAGGCTTCTTTCATGTTGAAAGTATAACGTGAACCAGACCTATTTAACAAGCGCGGTTCAAGCTGAAATCAATATTAGGATTCATACGCTAGTCTTAGCCTCGTCCTTGCTGTAAGGACAAAACTATTGCTAAAAATCAGCTGAGCATCTCTTCTTTAGTACTAAGAGGAGGCCTCTGCAGAAAGGTGCATCCCGCTGACCACTGTCCAGAAGCCAGAGGCCTGTGCTTAACTTGATTGTTTGCGTATGTTTACATGACTCTTGTTCGCTTGTATTCCCATGATGTGCTCACATCTTGCTTCTGGAGAGCAGCACATCTTGGCATGACAAATCCTAATTGCTCAAAAAAACCATGAGTCAGAATCCCCGGAATTATGGTACTGGTTTAAAAATCACAAGATTGCGTTTTGTGGGCTTGTTTTCTTTTTGCTTTGGTTTGAACCTTTAGAGTTCCAGTTTGTGATCTTTTTTTTTCACTGTAATCTTGAGGAACCAGAGGTTTTAAAACAACAGATCAGAATCCATTGTGCATCTCCAGGAGCTTTATAAAATCCAGGTAAACTAATGATATAAAGGCATTTTCCCAATGACTTGAATTTGCAGATCAGTCACTTTGTGCCATTGGCTTTCTGTGCCTGTTTACATGAAGGATGGTTTTTTCCAGGACTGTCAGAGTGGAAGCAAACTTGAAAGAGCACAAACACAAAGCAGTTTACTCCTTTTGTATTTTAACTGTTGCTCTTTTTTTTTTTTTTTTTTTTAAATATCTTTGCAGTACAGCTGCTTTTTTTTTCTTCTGGA